ATGCCCCACTCGCACTATCATTTTCTATGTTCAGTGGACCATGAAATTGGGGTCAAAACTCTCATTTGGCATTAAAATTAGAAAAATCATATCACAGGGAACATGTGTACTAAGATTCAAGTTGATTGGACTTCAACTTCATCAAAAACTACCTTGACCAAAAACTTTAACCTGAAAAACTTTATTCTGAAGCGGGACAGACGGACGGACGGACGAACGAACGGACGCATAGACGGAAAACATAATGCCCATAAATGGGGCATAAAAATCAAAGCTAAGTATACTATTTGTTTAACTCCTCTAACTGTTATAAAATAATGTTTGTTGATCTGACAAAAGTAAATGCATCATTGAAGAGAACTTAACATCTGCAGGGTGATACAATGAAATTTCATTTTCGTAATTTTATCATAAAGTTTTTATCTTAATGTCGAATGATGCAGAAAAAAGTCGTTATTGAAGTTCTTTTAATATTTCAATTTTAGAAACTGATTTTACATATTCTTTTTCTGAACATTTTTTATTAATTATTTTGATATAGATGAAAAGAATTTTTAGAATGATTGTAAAGCGTATTTTTCTGTTGAATTTTTATTTGAAATTTTCCCGAAAAAGGCATGGAAAATGCACTTTTTCTACAACGAATAATTGGTAACTAATTTTATTAACATGGGTTCATTTTTCATTGCAGTAACAAATTCTGTATCCCTATACAAAGTTATAATTGGGCTTAACTTTCTGTCAGATCGGTGATTGTCTATTTCCTAAACCTAAGACATTTCCCTAATAGGCCAATTTTTAGATCGGAAACTGCCATTTTGATCTAAACAGCTCTCAAACTCTGAACAATAAATTATGAAGTACTTTTCTGTCTTTCAGTCAATTTTCCAACTTCAGTAATGTTCAGACAATTCGCTAACAGTCAATTAAGATCTGTTCAGTCTATGTTCAGCCTGTTCAGTAGTTGTTATTTACCTGTACACATCAACATCATTCTGAATTGTTTGAAAAGCTACTGAACATTTCTGAATAGACTTCAAGCAAATTGTCTGAACATTACTGAATTTGCCGCAGTGGATAAGTCTGAAAATTGACTGAAATACTGAATATGACTGAATAATACATTGTTCAGACTTTTCAAATGATATTAAGATCAACATGATCTTTTAAGACTAAAATGCAGTTACTAATGTTTCCAAATTAACAAACCATACATGAAATTCTCTTACCCTGAAACACAATCGAAAATCTGAAAATATCACTAGTTATATTTAGGTCTTCTGTAATCTTTGTTAACAATTTTTTAACTCACCATCATTAAATTCATTTAAATAAAATGACTTTAACAAATCACATGACTGAAACTGTCAATTGACTGTTTATTGGAGTTACCATCTTTTAATGATAACACTATGCATTTTGGATATTTTTGTATATAATGTTGAAAATAAAAATGGAACAACATCAACGGTCACAGTGCCAGATTTACTGCACCAAACCCAGGCAAAGAATAAAGAGCTATGCATGTCAGAGGGAGATACATCTCAAAAATTTGAAATGATTCCCGAAATTGTATAACAGAAAATTTCAATAAAACAATATCCACATTTTCATGCAAGTACCAAAGGTCTGATTACTGGTAAACATTGAAATTGAGAAACAAACAAATCGAGATTTAAAAATCATTTTGGTCTTTAAGATTGTGATGACTGCTTACTGTTGGGAAATTTGATTTTCGGATCAGATGTTTGGGGCTTGGGAGAATAAGTAAATATTTGTTTATCCTGATTTTCATGTAAATAAATAAATCATATGACCCTGGAACTATAAAAAAGATACAGTTCATTACAAAAAGTGGAATAATTCCAATTCTTACATTGTTTTAGATTTCAGTCCTGTCAAACAGATGTTTTGAAAGTACTGCTTTTAGATATAGGAGCAGTAGCAACTTCTATACTACTCCTAACGTAGTGATAAATATATTATTAATTTTGGAAGTCATAACCATTTCAAATTTCACCGGTTTTTGTTGGGGTTCGTGTTGTTTAGTCTTTAGCTTTCTATGTTGGGTTTTGAGTACTGTTGTTTGTCTTTAGGTTTTTTTTCGTTTTTTGCAATGACTTATCAGTTCATTTTCGACTTATGAGTTTGAATGTTCCTGTTGGTATCTTTCTGTTCATTGAAGGGCTGAAGCACTGCAACACAAATTTGTTATGATAATGTCCTCTGTGATTGTGGTATGAGTAGGCAGATCTTCCAATGGACAGCTGGCAAAAGATTCAGAACTTATTGCAAGTAACAGCTTGTTGACTTGTATTCCTATGAAACTGATCCAATCAAAGGACTGTTAAAAGGATATAAAGGGTTGACTCAATTCATTTAATACAGTTTACACTACAGATAAGAGGTAGGTTATCTTGAAATTGTCTTAATAAACGACATCTTACCCATACTGCCTAATGGATAATGTACCACTGACATAAACAAGTCTGCTTTATACAAGGAAATAATGAATTGTCCTACCATTGAGTAATAATGTACCTTATTTATTTTTTGTTGTGGTTTATTTGATATAATTGATTGTTGATGTAACATCACTTTAAGCACTCTTTTCTATATCATGGTGGCAAGTTTGTATTGGTGGAGGAAGCCAACATAGAATAAAATGCTCCGCTGGGGTGCAGCTTGATACGACCGCAGAGGTCGAACCCTGAACAGTTGGGGCAAGTATGGACACAACATTCAAGCTTGATACAGCACTGAATTTGGATTGTAATTAAATATTTGTCAGAGCAAAGGTTTCTGACACAGAATGAATGTGGTCTAAGAACTTAAAAAATTTTAATTTACCTATTCAAACCATATCATTATTATTTGCTTTTATATATAAATCAGATATAACCAATTTAAAATGGAAAATTTTAAAGAAAAAAAAGGAAAAAAAAATCCCCCCCAAATTTTTTGAACCCCCTTATGATTCATCAACCCCAAACTCAATCCAAGCCTTCCCTTTGTGGTATGGTACCTTGCAGTTCAATTTCAGAGAGATCCCTACACTTGAACACAAGTTATTGTCTGGAAACTAGAAAAATGCTTGTTTTTTTGCCCCTTTTTGGCCCCAAATTCCTAAACGTTAAGGGCAATTACCCCCAAACTCAAACCAGCTTTCCCTTTGTGATATGGAACCTTGCAGTACAATTTCATAAAGATCCATACACTTACACACAAGTTATTGTCCTGAAACTAGAAAAAAGCTTGTTTTTTTCCCCCTTTATGGCCCCTAATTCCTACAATTTTGAGGGAATTACCCCCAAAATCAATCCCAGCTTTCCCTTTGTGATATGGAACCTTGCAGTACAATTTCATAAAGATCCATACACTTACACACAAGTTATTGTCCTGAAACTAGAAAAATACTTGTTTTTTTGCCCAATTATGGCCCCTAATTCCTAAAATATTGAGGGAATTACCCCCAAAATCAATCCCAGCCTTCCCTTTGTGGTATGGTACCTTGCAGTACAATTTCAGAGAGATCCATACACTTGAACACAAGTTATTGTCTGGAAACTAGAAAAATGCTTATTTTTGGTCCCTTTTTCCTAAACATTTGGGCAATTACTCCCAAAATCAATCCAAGCTTTCCCTTTGTGATATGGAACCTTGTAGTACAATTTCATAAAGATCCATACACTTACACACAAGTTATTGTCCTGAAACTAGAAAAATACTTGTTTTTTGCCCCTTTTTGGCCCCTAATTCCTAAATTTTGGAGGCAATTACCCCCAAAATCAATCCCAGCCTTCCCTTTGTGATATGGAACCTTGTGGTACAATGTCAGAGAGATCCATACACTTACACACAAGTTTTTGTCATGAAACTAGAAAAATGCTTGTTTTTTGCCCCTTTTTGGCCCCTAATTCCTAAAATTTGGAGGCAATTACCCTCAAAATCAATCCCAGCATTTCCTTTGTGATATGGAACCTTGTGGTACAATGTCAGAGAGATTCATACACTTACACACAAGTTATTCTCATGAAACTAGAAAAATGCTTGTTTTTGCCCCTTTTTGGCCCCTAATTCCTAAAATTTGGAGGCAATTACCCCCTAAATCAATCCCAGCATTCCCTTTGTGATATGGAACCTTGTGGTACAATGTCAGAGAGATCCATACACTAACACACAAGTTATGTCTGGAAGTTACAAAAATGCTTATTTTTGGCCCCTAATTCCTTAACTGTTAGTACCATAACCCCCAAAATCAATCCCCACCTTCCTTTTGTGGTATTGAACCTTATGGTAAAATTTCATAGAGATCCATTCACTTAAACTAAAGTTAGAGTGCGAAAACCAATGTGTCTTCAATCGACGACGACGACGCCAACGTCATACCAATATACGACCACAAAATTTTTTTTGCGGTCGTATAAAAATTGCTCAGTATGGGATATACCAAGAAAAATTGAATTCGTTGTTGTAAAATTTTAAAATCACTTATTGGGAAAACTTACAAACTGAACATCTCAAGATTCCTGGAGATGTATTTTTCCCACTCAGTACCATTCTCAGACAGGTTCTGTCTCATTATTGCATATCTCGTCTTGAACAAGCATGAAATATTTGCCACTGGACGTTAAGCAACCAACAACATTATTGCAAATAATAAATAACTGACTATCTGGACAATTTGCTTTTCTGTCATATGGTTTTGAAATTCTTAATTTTATTGTCGTTTTTGACCACTTTTAGTATTTACATCAATTTAAACAGTATCAAAGTTACATTAAATAGCATTTTTAGATTGCAAATTTCAGTTAAGAGAACATGGTTATGTGACTGCCTCTTGTTAGGAACCATGTAAGTGTTTTTTTTTGGGGGAAGGGGGTTTCGGCTACTGTTTCATTACCATATACCCCCACTTCTCCATTCATTCACTCTCATGTAACTATAGTTAAAACATTTTTGCCAAATTTGTAATATTGAAGGTCCATAATAAACATTCCTTCAATATTTATATCCTGTATTGTAAAATAATTATACTTATATACAAAGATAAAGTTAACTTATGGTATTTTCCCTATTGTTCTTAAACAAATAAAATCTTTACACATTTTTCCAATGTTCAGGAGAGGCTAATGTTCCCCCTTTATATCCTCATATTTCTTTTTTAAAATAATTTTTTTTCTAATAACATTCACAGTATATCATATAAAATAATTTATCACTGTTTACATATGTTAATATCACAATAAAAAAGGAATTCTGGTTACATTTCACAAAGTGGCATCATTTCATGTGTGGCAACCATCTTTGATTATTCAAGTTCCAGTTAATTGACTGAATTTCCTACCATTTTCAGAAACTGCAAAAAAATGTATTTGTCTTAATTCTAAAGGCAAATAAACACGGAATATACATTTCATGGACAACTAATTGTATATGTATAGAATAAGATTTGTTTTGTTGATTTATATGCATGGTCTTTTGATTGAGTTAAGCCATTTCAATTGATATTCTATAGTGTGTCTTTCTATGTTGTGATGTTACACTATTGTTTCAGGTAGGGTGATGGTTGGCGCCTATTGAAACGTTTAAACCCGCTGCATTTGTTTGCACCTGTTCTAAGTCAGGAACCTGATGTTCAGTGGTTGTTGTTTGTTGATGTGGTTCATATGTGTTTCTTGTCTCTCTTTTTTATACAGATTACACCGTTGGTTTTCCTGTTTGAATGGTTTTACACTAGTCATTTTTGGGGCCCTTTATAGCTTGCTGTTCGGTGTGAGCCAAGGCTCCGTGTTGAAGGCCGTACTTTGACCTATAAGGGTTTACTTTTACAAGTTGTGTCTTGGATGGAGAGTTGTCTCATTGGCACTCATACCACATCTTTTTATATCTATGGCAATTTTTTCCAGCATCAAATAATATCTCAGAACAGAGTCATTTTGAATCAACTGCCACAGATTGCCTAATATCAATGATAACATGGACCAAATATCTGCTTTATTATACATAGTTAATTCGAACAGAGATCATGAACTAGAGGCTCTAAGGAGCTTGTGTCGCTCACCTTGGTCTATGTGCATTTTAAATAAAGGACACTCTCCAACATTGTAGACGAGAATAGAATTCATGACAAAAATCTCTGTTTTGTTGATCTTGTTTTGCTGATCATTTAGTCTGTTTAGTTTCTCTCTATCTTCTTTAGTTTTTGCTCAAAACACAAAAGAGGGTAAAAAAGAATCCTCATTTAAGGGCAATCACTCCTATGAAGAGTGACAGTCTAAATTAATATCAGCAAAATTTGACTTGTTAGTAGCTCTTGCTTTGCTTAACATTTTTGTGATTTTAAGTGTCTATTTATCTATTATAATTTTCATATAAGGCATACCTGTCAACCTATGAAAATGAAAATGCAGGTCATGACCTGCATTGAAGAATAAAATCTCAGGTCATAACGTGTACAAACTTTTTTCCAGCTGAAATTAAGTATTTAGGGGACATTTTTTATATTTGTTTTTATATTTTAAAACAAAGAATTTCCAAAACATGTTCCAATGGTTAAGTATTAACTGAAAATAATTTTAAACTATTATTGTTGTAATGCACTTATGATTTTGATAGATTAATGTTTCAAAAAATACTTTAACAATTCAAGCCAAGCCATAATCCCTTCTATAATTATTATAATCAATTCATTCAGTGTGCATCTATCTGTACAGCTTTATACATTATCCCAAAACTGATTGATGTTAGAGTATAATAAAAAAAAAAGTTAAACATTTAAAGGAAGTAGAGATGAAAAAAATAATTTTCAACTATTTATTTTCTAATTGTACTAAGGTAGAAAAATAATGAAAAGTAATATTTTAATATGCATTTGCATTCAATTTGTTTTAGATTTAATCTTTTTTACAAAAATAAACATAAATTTAAGGAGTATATTTTGAAAGGGGACAAAAAAGGGGAAGTTACTCAAATTTTTTGTGAAACAACTTTGAAATACACAAATTATTTATGACCTAAAGCTAAGGTAATTGGTGTTCATAAACAGTGTGTTTGACATCAAAGCTGTCAAGTAAAGCCATGCACTGAAATGGATCACTTAATTTGAGTTTGCACAGCTAGTTGAACTTCTTGTCCAGGAAGAATTACAAATTTGCCGGTATTTCAAAGGAAAATCGCTTATGAAATCAGTCTGAAGGATTAAGAATCTGGGTTATAACAGGTAGTTTTGGAATTCCCAGGATAATTTAGGACCGGCGGGTATCCTGGGTGACCACTCAGAGTTGTGAAAATCTCTGGTCACACCATCAGGATACGGGTCAGTTGACAGGTATATATAAGACAAAATACAAAAAAATGGTAAAAATCATCAATAAAGGGCAATAACTTCAATAAGAAGTTGTCAGACCATTTCCTCCATTAATTGTAGGTCTTGTCTTGCTGATCATTTTTGCTAAATTAAGTTTCTATCTATCTATCATACTTTTTAAGATATAAGACAAAAACACAAACAAATGGTAAAAATTGTCATCAAAGGGCTTGCTGATCATTTTTGCAATTTAAAGTTTCTCTCTGTCTATTATAGTTTTCAAGATTAGACCCAAGTAGATTATTATGTGCTTGTGACTGTAGATGCAAATGTACTGACAACTGCTTTAAAGTAGAGTATATAACCAGGAAACTATGCTATGCCTTACATGTCCAAAGAAATGAACTTTTGAAAGCTCTTCCATCTAGCAAACGAAAGGGCCATTGAATGTAGCCAACATTCACCCCAAGGGCGTAATCTTAACATTTTTGTTTATCCAAGTCCACTGTAAATATAGCGAACTTTTAACCGATTCTGAAAAGAAGTGCTCCTTTGAAGGAGGAATTCCTTATACAGATACAGATACATGTAGGTAAAATTGAAAAAAAGGGTAAAATTTGTCTTTTAAGGGCAATAACTCCTATAAAAGTCGATTTACAGTTTTGACTTACTTCGACAATTGGTAGAGCCCAACATTCTGAACACTATTGCTCTTGTCAGATTTTCCCTATTTATACCAGTTTTCAAAATGATGGAAAAAACTTTTTACCCTTATGTTCTATTTTTAGCAATGTCGGCCATCTTGGGCAGGCGGGGTCATTGGACACATTCTTTAAACTAGATACCCCAATGATGATTGTGGCCAAGTTTGGTTAAATTTGGTCAGTAGTTTCAGAGGAGAAGATTTTTGTAAAAGTTAACGGACGACAACAACGATGGACAATATATATAAGTGATGAGAAAAGCTCACTTGGCCTTTTGGCCCAGTTGAGATAAAAAGAACCTTAAAAAATAGCCAAATCCATCTAAGGTCAACTTTGACTGAGGGAGTTGAAACTTATCACATAAAAATTTATATCTGGACAATTTTAAAAAGGTTGGTTATAAATCATGTTAGTACCAAAGTTCTGACTCCAAAATTGATGATATCCTATGCTTTACAAAATAACAAACAACTCCTGCAGCCAAAATTTGACGTTTGGTGATATTCTTTTTAGTCCCCATATTATTAAATATGAATTTCAACTCAGAAAGTCAAGTCTTTATTATTACCTGCTGGTTGATGTGTTTTCTACATTTTCTGTATTTTTTCTTCTATTCACTGATTCAATTTCTGTATCTTTAATTTCATTTACCTATTAAGTAATCATATAAGTGCTGTAAGCTCTATAACAAATGACAAAAAATTGTTCATGTATAATACTTTGAAAAATTTTTAGTTTCCGTTCTGTAACTTAAGTTTGCCCCAACCAAACATTATGAAACCTATACACAATATACTTATTACCACAAAATTTTTTTTTATCTTCATTGCAATCTAAAATGCTTTTTAAAAATTATTTGTTTTCAAACATAATGCCAGTGAAACTTTTTTAACAACTTGCTGTTTGGGCAAGGGACCATGATAGTTAACTTGTCAGAAAAAGAAAACCACTTGTCCAAATTTTGTACTTTCTTAAATTCTAAGCTGCCATTAATGGACTCAAAATCATTTCATTGTGTTCCAAGTTTTCATTTCTCTGAAATATTGCTAAAAAGTTTCCCAAGCATATGCTGCCATTCCCATCACCAGTCTGTGATATATACTGATTTCGTTGTGATATGCTATAAATGATTTTGCGTAAGAATACAGAATATGGGCATAGTTTAATTTTTACCCACAAAAAAAAAACTCTACAAATAAATTAGTAACTGAACATGAGAGAGCTCATTAAATTTCTTAATATATTTTTTTAATTTCACATTTGTTTCAGATTTAAAAATCAATGATTTTTAAGTTATCATGGTTATTTACTACTTTGTACTACTATTTTATTCTGTAATTTTCCATGCCATCAACTTTCATTTTTGTACTTGCACATTGGAAAAGTACACTGCAGTTTTTACTTGCCCGAGAATGACTTTAACTTATCCCAGGCAATCAAACTACCTTTAATGTCATACCCTGAATGCTTTTCTAGTGCATTCAAGTAAAATTAAGGCAATTTTCAGTGCCAGGATCACATTATTTATTTTAGCAAAAATTTTAAAAAATGGCCCTCCACTAAGCAGTCTACACAATATTTTTAATACCACTGAAACAATCACTGTATGCTTGGTTCTCAAATTTATAAAATATATAACAATAATAAGAGTTCATATATTGTTAAAGGTCAAACTTTATGAAAAATCGTGTTTCAGATATGTAACTTTTGTATATCTTGCTTTGATAATAATTTTTTTTTTTTTGTTAACAGTTTCTGTCTATTACAGTTTTTATTGGTGATAAATGATGTTTTCAGTGTTTTAAGTATTTTCAACATTTTCCTAGATCCTGCATTGTCGATTATGGTATTTTTGCTGTTTGCAGTTTCAATCTATCTATTACAATTTTTTAAGATAAAGGGCAACTGCATTCAAACTGGTAAATAGATCTTGATTTAAAAACAATAACTCCAAAGGAATCAATTGGTAGTTTCAGTCATATAGTTAACATTTTTTTATCTTCTATGGGTAGATTTTGTGCTACATTATCTATTATAGCTTTCAAGGCAATAAAAAAATAAAAGTTAAATATCTTCATTCATAGGCAATATCTTCCTTTAAGGATGTACTTACGTGAGGTTTATGATTTTTTGTCAGATGTTCAACTTCTTGGTTTTTTCCCTAGGATACAGGGTAAAATATTTTGCCCCACATCACCCACTTTTCTTTTCATAGCTCATACAAAAGTCATTACAAAAATTTAAGCAGATTCTATATTTTTTTTCTTACGATTTGAGACCTAAAATAATACCAATGCTAAATATAAGGTAAAAGTCTGAGTCAGCCTTTTCCCGCCATTTTTTATAAATCAAATATCTCAAAAAGGAGTTCCATAACCTATTAATATTTTTAGCTTATTTTATTCCTTAACTTATGCTCGTCTGACTTAAAGTATCAATTTTAAATTCTAGATTTTTTTAATTTCACGTAAGTACATCCTTAAGTAGTCTATATGAGGAAATGCCTGTACCAAGTCAGGAATATGACAATTGTTTTCCATTCATTTAATGTGTTTGAGCTTTTGATTCAGATTTGATTTTTCCATGGAGTTCGGTATTTTTGTTATTTTACTTTTTTCTATTATGATTTACGTCATATTGGCATTTTGTATATCTTGTATTGGTACATTGTAATACTTACAGTTTCTGACTATCTAATACAGTTTTTGAGGTTTATATGTAAAGTATTGAGTAGCAAGAATGTAACTTATAATTCTAAGCACCAGAAAACAAGACGTGAGTTTCTGATGGATCAAAAAGAGCTCACACATTACAACTTATCACTGTTAAGCTGCTGCCCACATTTGAAGTAGTTCTGTTCAGGAGTAGTGGAGAAAAGTGTGATGAAACATTTTACGCTTAGCCAACATATTGAAAATTTTAAAGTATCAGCAAACAGGAAATAAGTTACTAACAGATCCTAAGAGTAATGACACTCAATTGCTGATAATGTTTACAGTTAAAAAATTCTGTCTAGTAAATGTATCATGACTGAGAATGCAGGGACAAATAATCTCCCTAGAAATGAGATGAGCCAATGATAATACAACTGCATAAAACATCATTGACATATCATTAGTGGTTTCCCTTAAACTGACCTACTGTGAGTACCAATTTTTGTTGATTGCATGGGTATACCAAATGTTAATGTTCAAAGAAGTATAAATTTTCCATGGGCTTGTATACAAACTCTTGCCAAACCACAAATTCAAATTTCCACAAAAAAAAACAACCTTTCTCCAATCCACAAGAATTGGAAACCCATGTAAATAAATGATTCCACATTTATCACAAACTAATATGTAAATTGTTCCAAAGTTTAGAAGTCACTTGACTATGAATTAGGGGGCAAAGGACAACATATTGAAAGCTTAAAGTAACGTATGGTAACAAAATAAGTAAATAATATCTTTCCAACACCATCATCATTCAAAAAAATGTTTTCTTTTATGATTTCAAAAAAAGATATATATAAAAAGTAATATAACAAAAATATATACCAAACTCTAAGGAAAATTCAAAACAGAAAGTCCTTTATCAAATAGCAAAATAAAAAGCTCAAACACATCAAGTGAGTGGAAAACAACATATTCCTGGTTTGGTACAGGCATTTCTGTATGTAGAAAATGGTGGATTAAATCTGATTTTATAGCTAGCTAAACCTCTCACTTGTATGACAGTTGCATAAAATTCCATTATATTGACAACAATGTGTGAACAAAACAAACAGACATAATAGGTAAAAATGTCAAAAATTGGGATACAACATTACTGAAACTTACCATTTGAACAGCATTTCTAACATTCTCTTTTTTCTCTGAGTATATATGAACATACAAAATTTTTTCTGTATGTTCTACACCCCTGGTTTCTAATGCTTGGCCTCTCAAGAAAAGTTTGGTCTTAGTCTGAAAAGAAAATAATTTTTTACTTACTTATAAATCAAGGTAAAAACAACTAGAACTGTTTGAAGAGCAGGACAAATACCTCCCAAATCAATTTGTAAATTTGTTTTTTTGTACGACGCCCTTGGCTATTTATATAATAGCACCATTTATTATTGGTTGGGAAAGCCTGAGTAACCAGAAAGAACCATTGAACTTTCGGCAGGAAATCTGGCAATCCTTGTTAATTAACATATGAGTCGAACACACCTCACCACAATTGATGTTCAAACTCACAACCTCAGAGTTGACAAACTAGTGATCATTGTAGATGAATTACTTTGACCACTCGGCCACAGAGGCCCCTCCTCTTTTTAGCCCTAAATATCTATTACATCTAAGGTAGCTGGGGTGTCTAAACGTTCGCAATAGATTTTCTCAAACTTCTGTAAAAGACTTCTGGGTCAATGTACTATCAAATTTTAATGTAAAAACTTGAGGTTCACAGACCTTGTTTTTTCATCAAAATACATTGAAATTAACGAAATTAAAGTTATTTAAATGGGTTATATAAGGCAAACTTAATTTTTCTTTATTGAGGAAACATTAAACGATAGAATTGGTTAAAATTCAATGAGAGAATTACTTTTGGAATGCTTGTACATGTATAATCTTATTTTGTAGACCATGTCTTTTAATTTATCCAATCAGCCATGGGGTTTCCAAGTCACTGCTGCATGTGCTTCTTGTTTACTAATTGTTTTTTGAGTGCATACTAATTATCCAATCAGATTTTACATTACATTTGAACCAAACAATCAGCTCTCATTAGCAGAGCTTTTGTTTTAGGTACACACACCCAGTTATCCTTAAAGCAACGCTTGCTTGGTGCAGACATTTAAATTGTTCTTGAAAATATATTATCCCACCGTACACTACCTAGCAGATATTTTTCACTTTATAATGTTTTCACTACATTACACACATTGCTTTGCATAAGTCATTTAAGCTTAATGCTATATTGTAAGTAGAGTAGAAATGTTTCCAAAGACCTAACAGTTATCACATACTTTTTGTTAGGAGTACCTCAGATTCTCAGCTTTCTTTTATTGAATCAACAAATGAATGATTTCATACAACACGATTAAACTATCCCCTGCCTTGCATCAAATTCAAGGTAAAATTTTCACCTGCAGTAGTTGTTAGTTTAACAACCAATAGGTACTAATTGATTTTATGAATTTATGAATATTAAATTATCACCTATTGGTCGCTCGTCAAATCACTTTGCTTTTCGCTCATAACTAAATTTCAAACGTTAGACTACACAGTTTGAGTTCTTGGCCGGGAGAATTAATAATATTTCAATACGTGTAACAGTAGCATCATTATTGACAAGTGATATCAATGTTTAAATGTGCTGTCAATTGTCAATCTTCTTCTTGAATACCAACAGATGTCTTTTCATCTTTTTTTTTAATTAAAAAGTTTTAATCAAATTTCTTCTAAAATAATCTTTCATACATTATAACTTGCATCTTCTTTCTTATTTTTCATATTTGATTTACTCACTATAAACATACCTCTGCTTCTAATGTTTTCTGTTTAGCTCTTAATATCTGAATGAAGTTTATCTCTGGGAAATGATCTAGATGTATTTCAACTTTTTCACTAAACACTTTTGGACTGTAAAAAAAGGAAACAATTAACAACTTCCCTAAATCTATATGCAAACACATTACATTCAATGACTACAAATACTTATTAAAGCTACTCAAATCAGTTCTAAAATGTTTGATTCGTGAAGATGGTTCCTTTTCAATTTCGTCATTTAAATCTTATATCAAGTTAACAAGATTCTATAATGCTGCAATTGAACCAACTTTTATTTTTTACTTGTAAGCATTTGGGAAAAATGGTGAAAATTTTCCTTTAGGAGCTACAACTCATATAAGGAGTGAACAGACAATATCAGCAATGTTTACTTAATTGACATCCTGTCATACTGATCATTTTATCTTTTTAAAGTTTCTCACTATCTATAATAGTTTTCAACAAAATAGGCAAAAATATTAAAAAAAACAATAAAATCTTTCATTTAAGGAGTCTTCTAAAAATTTTAGCCTAAATAGACAGATTAACATTCTGCATATATTTGTCACAGTCATATTTCATCTATCTGCAACTGTTTGTAGGATAACAGACATCCACATCATTCAAACTCTGGTGGGTAGTCGTTGTTCTGGCAATCATACAACATCTTCTTATTTTTATAAAAACTAGGGTTTTACCCCCCAAGTTCTATTCTTAGACTAAGCAGCAATTTTGGTAATCAGGCAAAATCATTTGAAATGTTCTTTAACAAGATACCCCAAGGGTGATTGTAACCAAGATTGGTTGTAATTGGCCCAGTAGTTTCAGAGGACAAGATACTGGTAAAGGTTAATGAACAATGATGATAACAGACTATGGAAGCCAAGTTATGGCAAAAGCTCACACTGGCCCTTTGGGTTAGTTGAGTTAAAAACTTAATAGGGCTTTACTATTAATGATTTCACATCCAATGATCCATCTTTGAATGAATTTGTCAATATGGAATCGATGACATTACAATATTTATTCTAAATGATAATATATTTGTACTTGGAAATGAATATGCTAAAATATCTATGCTTAAATAAACTGTTTAATAGAAATTACTATTTTCAACATTAATGTTATTCTGCATGAAATGACTGCACTTGCAGCTTCTGTAATTTTCTTGTATAAAATTTCACTGTTTACCTGAATAAATTACCATATAATACCAAAACATTTAATACCTCTTTGAGCATCTTGTATTAATATCAGTATACATTTACTCTGAAATCATCGGCTTATATGGAGAATTGCAAATTTTAAACATCATAGGTTTCTTATAAGCAATAAAACTAGAGGCTCTAAAGATCCTGTGTGGTTCACCTTCGTCTATGTGCATATTCAACAAAGGACACTCTCCAACATTACATAATACTGTTTGTCAAGTCATTAAGGATTGCATATTTTGGTATTAATATTGATTTACTCATAGGGTCTTTGCATCGGAAATAAACACATTTATTCTAAAACCAGTTGTTGGCATGATACGGATTATGTTCTTCTCATATATTTTATGATGGTATGATACTAAACCCCTAAAGGGAGGGATTGTACTTGATTTTCATATGATGAAGACATAATCTTTCAATCAGTTTAATTGAAGTCTGGAGCTAGCATGTCAGTAACTGCTAGTAGACCTTTGTTCATTTATGTATCATTGTCATTTTGCTTAGTTTCTTTTGTTACCTATTCTAATATCAGACTCAGACTTCTTTTAAACTGAGTTTTACTGTGCGTATTGCTATGTGTTTCTTTATTCTACATTGGCTAGAGGTATAGGGGGAAGGTTAAAATCTCACAAAACATGTTTAACCCCGCCGTATTTTTGCGCCTGTCCCAAGTCAGAAGCCTCTGGCCTTTGTTAGTCTTGTTGGTTTTTTAATTTTAGTTCATTTATATGTTTTGGAGTTTAGTGTGATGTCCATTTTCACTGAACTAGTACACAATTTTATTTAGGGGCCAGCTGAGGAACACCTCTGTGTGCGGGATTTTTTCTCGCTGCGTTGAAGACCCATTGGTGGCCTTCGGCTGTTGTCTGCTCTTTGGTCGGGTTGTTGTCTCTTTGACATATTCCCCATTTCCATTCTCAATTTTATTGTAGACGAGAATAGAATTCATGACAAAAATCTCTGTTTTTTTTATTTCGTATTGCTGATCATTTAGTCTGTTTCATTTCTCTCTATCTTCTTTAGTTTTTGTTCAAAACATAAAAGAGGGTAAAAAATCTTCATTTAAAGCCAATCACTCCTATAAAGAGTGATAGTCTACTAACTATATCGGCAAAATTTGACTTGTTAGTAGATCTTGCCTTGCTGATCATTTTTGTCATTTAAAGTGTCTATTTATCTATTATAATTTTTATCATATACAGCAAAATGCAAGAAAAATGGTAAAAATCGTCATTTAATGGCAATAACTCCAATAAGGAGTCGTCGGACAATTTCCTCCATATTATATTAATTGTACATCTTGTCTTGCTTATCATTTTTGCTTTTTAAGTTTCTATCTATCTATTATAATTTTGAGATATAAGGCAAAAACACAAAAAAATTGTCAAAATTGTCATCAAAGGACAATAACTCTAATAAGGAGTCGACTGATGATTTCCCAGGACGACCACAGATGACGACGGATGTTAAGTAATGAGAAAAGCTCACTTGGCACTTTGGGCCAGGTGAGCTTAAAAAAATCCACCAATTATAAGTGCATTTTCACCTTAACACAAAAAAACAGTACCATCCAAAATAGACATATTTACACTTTTGGTGTTTAGCTGAATGAACTTAGATATGTCTCCCAATAACCTTCTGACATCAAGCAACAATCACTTTTTAATTATGATGTCAAATTTTCTAAATTGTGAAGCAAAATTTTGCAGGAACTTGTGTGATTTTAGTAATGGCAGACTAATTTGAATACAAGTGAAAATACATCTATATATAAAATTCATATTAACAACTGTAATATCTGCCTTCTGCAAGTTTGAAAAGTCTTGACAAACTTTGACCTTTCAGTTACTGTAAGTGATGCTGAGAAACTTTGACCTTTCGGTTACTATAAGTGATGCTGACAAACATTTGACCTTTCAGTTACTGTAAGTGATGCTGACAAACTTTGACCTTTCAGCTACTGTAAGTGATGCTGACAAACATTTGACCTTTCAGTTACTGTAAGTGATGCTGACGAACTTTGACCTTTCAGTTACTGTAAGTGATGCTGACAAACTTTGACCTTTCAGTTACTGTAAGTGATGCTGACAAACTTTGACCTTTCAGTTATTGTAAGTGATGCTGATAAACTTTGACCTTTCAGTTACTGTAAGTGATGCTGACAAACTTTTACCTTTCAGATACTGTTAGTGATGCTGTTGCTGATGCTAACTTGTCCATCTCTTCTCCATGCTGACTTATTTTGCCTTCAGGTATACCTTCTCTTTCTCTATCTTGTCTTGGTGAACTCTTTTCTGGAACCTGTTCGTCTTTTGTTTTTGATGTTTTATCTTTTGTTATATCAGTATTGCATAATGACTTTGATTCTGTATCTGTTTTATTTTCACCTTGGTGTGAACCTTTTCCTGATTCTGTTCCAGTAAATCCATCTTTTGGTATGTCAGAATCAAATAATGGCAGGAAGTCAGTGTTTTTTTTGTTATCATCTTTAATCCCTGCTGATTGATCTTTTGGAGGTATGAGATCAGGAATCTTTACTAAATATAGAGCAATACATTAGATGTCAGAGAAACAGAAGCGAAGTAATGATTTGGCTGTAGCTTACTATTCTGATGGTAGATTGTCTTTCAATAAAATGGAATAAAGTTATATATTGACTCTATCACTGATTCACATGTGATCAGATATTTCTCCTCTCAAGACAGATTTATTCTAAATATTTTAAATTTATTTTAAATAAACAAAATTTAACTGTCAAGGGAGGAGAAATATTGTATTGCACAATATACAACGATGGAATCTGATTTTCTCATGATTTTAGTTCTTTTTTCTGTGGGACAGTCCATTGTAAAAAAGCAATAATCTTGATGTTATCTTTGTATGAAAATACCGTTTACTGCAAATTTTTAATTTTCTGTGTTAAAGTTTATTACAAAGTATATTTCTTTTCAAATTAAAACAACATTTTTTCATAGTGAGAATGGTGTTAAATATTTATTACATGCAGGTGGTTACTCCTATCATTCTCTTATACAAAACAATCTTGACAGAGGAGGAGCTTTGCGTATATTGAATTATGACATTCCAGATGTTGGACAAATCTGTGACATCAAATTCCTGCTTAATGCCAAATCAGCTTACTAAAGGTCAGTGAACAAATAACGCAAAACAAAAAACCTATAAATTTCACACAAAATGTGGTTCTATTAATAAATGATTTGGTCAGAACATTCCTTGGGTGTTCCTAGTTGATATTTGTGTTGCATCTTTAATGACTTCAAAATCCTTCTAAATACCAAATCAGCACGTTATTAAAGGTCAGTGGAAAAATAACGCAAAACAAAATACCTATAAGATTCACACATTATGTGGTTCTATTGATAAATGAATGGGTCAGATCACTCCTAGGGTGTTCCCACTTTAAATATCTATGTGCATCCTCAGGGGTTCGTTCGTTGGGAGTTATTTTGTTTTGAATTGATTTTTTTTCCAACTTTTTTTTATCAGAATTTTGTTATAAAAAAACTGAAGATAGAAACTTTATGGCACTGAATTTTATATATTTGACTTTCAAATATTTGGTTTTGAGCGTTCCTGGTGAAGGTAAATCTAGAAAAGTGCTTTCAACACATGAAATTTATAAAGTGTGGTTTTCAATTTTTAGGGTAAAGGGAGTATCTTCTTCAAATAAGTGTGCCAATGTTTTGGACAATTTGTTTCTGAAGCAACTTTTAGGTCTCCAAAGATGAAAGGTAAAATAAGGTTTAATCCTTTCATTTTCTATCTATTCTTTTAATTTAGACTTGTGTATATATATATATATCCGCTTATTTGGTAGTCAGCAGGGTTTAAGAACATCTGTTGTTCGACCTGTTAGTCAAATGCGTTTTGTTTAAATATACTTATTTCACTTTTTTGGTCTTTTGGAAAATGTTGTTTGTGCTGTATTTAGACCACTCTACCAAGAATTTGTTTTGCATGCACATGTATAAAAAATGTGGTTTTTATCCAACGCAATCATAGGTTTGAATGTTGTTTTCAATTTAGACTTATTTATATTTTTTCGTTTGGGCTTGTATTATATTTGCCTTCGGGTTTATATGATCGGCTCATCCTATTTCGACTCTTCAAAATTCAAGAGTCTATCCTAAATTGAGGTAAATTATATGGCCTCCTAATACTGTTTCGATTCCTAACATCACTGAAGAGACATTAATTGTCGAAATCCGGATATGGTGTACAAATTTTTGCACCTCAGGTTTGAGGTATACCATCTTTTCCGCAAGTTTATTGTTTTCTGTTTGGTATTTAAAATTATAATAAAGATCCATTTTGTTACATCTTGTGATCCGTTTATTTGCCAATCGCCAATGGCAGTCAGTAGGGTTTAAGAACATCCGTTGTTCTACCTGTTAGTCAAATGCATTTTGTTTGAATATACTTTTTTCACTTTTTTGGTCTTTTGGAAAATGTTGTGTGTGCTGTATTTAGACCACTCTACCAAGAATTTGTTTTGCATGCACATGTATAAAAAATGCGGTTTTTATCCAACACAATCATAGGTTTGAACGTTGTATATATTTCTTGTTTGAATTGTTCCACATGTTTCATATCAGGACCTTTTATAGCTTACTATATGGTACAAGTTTTTCTCATTTTCTTTCAGTTTCAGGGGAAAATATTTTGTAAAAATTTACAAAAGTTTACAACATTTATGAAAATTGTTAAAAATTGACTATAAAGGGCAATAACTCCTAAAGGGGTCAACCGACCATTTTGTTCATGCAGACCTATTTGTAGATCTTACTTTGCTGTACATTATTGCTGTTTACAGTTTATCTCTATCTATAATAATATTCAAGATAATAACAGAAAACGGCAAAATTTCCTTAAAATTACCAATTCAGGGGCAGCAACCCACCAACGGGTTGTCCGATCCATCTGAAAATTTCAGTGTAGATAGATCTCAACCTGATTAACATATGAACCCCATGTCAGATTGCTCTAAATGTTTTGGTTTTAGAGATATAAGCCAAAAACTGCAGTTTACCCCTATGTACTATTTTAAGCAATGTCGGCCATCTTGGTTTGTAGGCGGGGTCATCGGTCACGTTTTTGAAACTATAACTCCTAATGATGATTGTGGCCAAGTTAAGATAAATTTATCTCAGTAGTTTCAGAGGAGAAGATTTTTGTAAAAGATTACAAAAATTTACAAAAAATTGTTAAAAAATTGACTATAAAGGGCAATAACTCCTTAAGGGGTCAACTGACAATTTTGTTCATGTTGACTTATTTGAAGATTTTACTTTGCTGAACATTATTGCTGTTTACAGTTTATCTCTCTCTATCTATAATATATTCAAGATAACCAAAAACTGCAAAATTTCCTTAAAATAACCAATTCAGGGGTAGCAACCCAACAACGGGTTGTCCGATTCGTCTGAAAATTTCAGGGCAAACAGAAATTGACCTGATAAACAATTTAACCCCCTTGTCAGATTTGCTATAAATGCTTTGGTTTCAGAGATATAAGCCTAAAACTGCATTTACCCCTATGCAAAGATGCCAACCCTGTTGAGTGCAATCAGTAAAAAGGCATTAAAATTTTCGTAATTTGTGTCTTTTTTCAGTAATATTTACGTAACATTTCATAATCAACTGTGCGCACAGTGATATGATTGATTGGTTATTGGTTGCTTAATGTCCAGTGGCAAATATTTCATGCATGTTCAGGAAAAGAACACTTTACTAACAAATACAAAAGGTATAGGTCCTTTAATTAATAGAGGTCGCCTGGGATGAGAGTCAGGAAAATTTACACTGCCACTGGAAAATGAGGGTGTATGGGATATGGGACAGAAATTTAGCATGGACACCACACTTTGGCAAGAGTATTACTGCCTAATGGAAGAAAACCTGTAGTGACCATATTTCTATTCCTCAGTCACACTTTTTGGGTGACTCTCAGTGACAAAATGGTTTTCTTTATTTATCAGAACTACGATTCAAAGTTGATGATCAAATGAGGAATACTGACCATCGCGTCAAATGAAAATCTTTTTCATATTTATATGCAAAAGGCATAATGGTCCAGATTTCTAGTTTTCTTTCTATGCATTGAAATTTAAATTGTTCCATCAGACATTGCAAAATTGAAAACAATGACTGGTTTCATTCATTAATTATTCAAAATTAAACAAGAAATATATAGGTCATTTTGTACTGGTAATCACGATTGATTGTCGATTGCTAAACGTCCAGTGGCAAATATTTCATGCATGTTAAGGACGAGAACAAGTAAACAATAAATTAAATAGGTAGGTCTTACAAGAGAGGTCACCCTGATGAAGGTCGGGGAAAATTTGTACCACGGGAAAATGAGGGTATATTGGATATGGACAGAAATTTAGCATTGCAACAGGCCACCTACGGACCCCTCAAAGAGTTGTTGCAAGGGTTCTTAACGTGTTAGCAGCGTGGCACTCTCTACATGAGGCATCAGATTTAACGTCCTCATTCTTACTGGACGTGGCTGCATACTAGATAAATCCTGCACAGCCAAACTGATGCCCCACTTTGGTGAGGGTTCTACTGCCGATCCGATCTATTCCCCAGTCACCCTTAGGGATATTCCCAAGAAACTCAAAGGAAAATAACAGTCCAAACCATTCAAGCTCTAAATGTTACATGATTCTTATCAAAAATCATTTATAAACGGAGAACAGATCTGGACAGGTAATGAACGTAAATCCGTAACAAATAGACTGTTAATTGTAACACCATAATTTTGGTCCAAAATTGGTAACAATTACGGGAAAACCGTAAAAGACAGAAACGAAAAAATGCTTATAACCCTGTAACACATTTTAGTTGCTGCTGTGAAATTTAGCATTTAGGCAATAACATTTGAGATTTTTGGTTTTAAGCCATTCATTTGATATACTAGTAATCATTGCCTCTGTGTTTGGATGACACATTGTTAATTATAGGTCAATCTTAAAGAATAATACTGCCCCAGGAATAAAGTGTGAGGATAAAAAGTTCTGGATCCGCCACTGCATTGTTAAGCACTAAGTCTAAGAAAGTCATTTTGCTAGTACATGGACAAATGTTATTTAATCATGTTAATAATTTCTACAACACTTGTCTTGATACACTGAGCTATAATATTCTAAGAAGTAGATGCTGACTCATTTGCTTTTAATACAAGCCTTATTCTTGTAACAATTTGTGTACAAATGTAGTTGTTAATTGTAACACTGATGAGGAGGCTATGGTAGTTGATACGAATTGTCGTTGAGTCAATGTTTTTTGCTGTCAGTTTGATCCACTTGAGCATGCTGAACAAGTGAACGTCCTTATATCTACATTGGAATGTGAAACAGCTAGTATTTAAATAACGGAATTTAAAGTTTTCAAATGATTTTTGGCATCAAAACCTTCCGATCGATGTTTTGACAAAAACAATGCACTTTTCTATCAAAGCCGGTATTTACCTTTACTCATTCTTAGCGTGACACATTAGTCATATCATTATCGAGTATTTTTTTAATTCTATCACCTGTGTATTGTTCAATCAAACCATTATCACTTGTCAATTATTCGACAGCTTGGTCAAAATATCCAACTTGTTCTCGCATTTCAGTCAATCATACTGGATTCTTTCGATGCACTCAGGCGTTTACTTATTCAATAATAACATTTGTAAATATCGTACATCGTAAAAATAGCGCGGGAAAATGTTCATTCATGAAATATTCATGAATGAACCGCTGTCTCGCATAGATTTCTTTTGATTTTCTCTTCAGCGCATGGCAGATCCGTGAAGTAATGTTTGTGATACTCATTTTCAAAATGAAGTTAAGGTGGCTCGGGTATCTTCCTCCATCTTGGATTTCGAAGTAGCAGATAACGTTGGTCTAGATATTTCATGAAATGTGCAAATTTTGAGAGTAGTATATGTAATTTATGTAAAAGACTTTTGATGTAAATATAGAAAATTGTGTGTTTTATCATAATTACGGCTGTAATTTCTCAAAAACACCTTATTTGTGTTTGATTAGATTTTTTTGAACTTTGCCAAATAAGGGGAGATAACTCAGATAAAGTAATTTTTATAATAGAAAGTGTTGTGAATTTACCGATTTTGATATGTAGCAAGAAAACAAGTTCGGTGACCCCATTTTTTCTTTTTCTTATCTGAAAGCATCTTATAAGAACTATCTCCTCACATTTTATCTTAAAGTTCTATCAATTAGTTTTCTTTTTATCACACAAAATTTGATTTTCCATGCATAATCTATACAAAATCTGACAATTTTGCACAACCTCTAGCGTGAAAAAAAGTTCGGTGACCCATACTTTTTATTATATTTTTGAAAAAAGCATGATAAAAACTTCATTTTGACAAATTATCAAAAATTTCTATCAATTTTAATTAAGACGCCCCAGCCACCTTAAATTCATCTGAATTGTCAGTGAACATTCATTCCTGTTTTATTCAAGCTGTAATCTTTTCAAAAGAGTAGAAACTCAAAATTTCAAAAGCATCTTCCTAGAATCAGTATTCAAACACTAGTACTACATTATCTTGGAGCAGAACATTTGCGATAGTCTGTCACCAGAAGCTTGAGGCCGACACCTTAGGAAAGTAGCTATAGCAAGCTATAGCAAACTTTCCAAAAACCCCAATTTTTATACGTGTGCATGCAAAACAAATTTCTTGGTAGAGGGGTCTAAATACAGCACAAACAACATTTCCCAAAAGACCAAAAAAGTGAAAAAGTATATTTTAACAAAACGCATTTGACTAGCAGGTCGAACAATGGATGTTCTTAAACCCTGCTGACTGCCATTGGCGATTGCCAAATAAACGGATCACCAGATGTAACAAAATGGATCTTAACTATTAATTTAATACCAATTAATGTCTCTTCAGTGATGTTAGGAACAGAAACGGTATTTAGAAAACCATATAATTTACCTCAATTTAGGATGGACTCTTGAATTTTGAAGAGTCGAAATAGGATGAACGGATCATATAAACCTGAAGGCAAATATAATACAAGCCCAAACGAAAAAATATAAACAAGTCTAAATTGAAAACAATTATATATATATATAATCTGAGACAAGGTATGGTATTACTATCATTTGAACTTAGTGCATTATTTTTTTATCTCAGTTATGATTCAATTAATCCCAACTTATCAATTTTAGCTATTGATTTTGAAAGAGTAATATTTCAGCTTTACAATGAGTTAAAAGATTTCAAAAATCTATTGAGTAGTTGGGGAGAAATTGACCTTTAATTGGAGTAAAATAAAAATTACACTGTTGTGAGGGGTGACACCAGGATGCTCATTTCCCAAATCCCATTTTCTTATTATTTTTTTCCCTTCTTTTTCCTATATCCTAAATCCCCACATTTTTTACCCCTAAAACCCACATCCAAAAAGCGTGCCATTCCACTCTGATGTGCTACCTTAAAACAATGCATTTGCAAATGTAAGACACAATCTTTTAGGGGGCCTCGGTGGCCGAGTGGTCTAAGTAGTCCAATTACTGTATCACTAGCTAGTCAACACTGAGGTTATGAGTTCGAACCCCGCACGGGGCAGGTGCACTCGACTCCAATCTTAATTGACTGGGATTGTCAGTTTTCCTACCGAAGGTCTGTGGTTTTCTCCGGGCACTTCGGCTTCCTCCACCAATAAAAACTGACCGCCACGAAATAGCACAATAATGTTGAAATTGGTGTTGAACACCAAGCAATCAATCAACCAATCACAATCTTTTATATACCCTAGACCATTCATCTTAAAGTTTTGCCATCTCTCACAAGTTAAAAAAATTATGATAATAATGGTATTTATTTTTGTTGAATTTGTTTGGCCAAATAAGCCCAAAATTGCGCATTCTTATTTTCAATATGAGCAGGAAAGTTCTTTTCTTACAAAGTGGTTCATGGAAGATCAACAAGCATTTATTTATTTTGTATTTACATTGTATCATAGATCAAATTTATTTGTTCAGTGTATGTTCACTGGTGTTAATATGTCTTTTGATTGAGTTAAGCCATTTCAATTGATATTTTATAGTGTGTCCTATGTTGTGATGTTACGCTATTGTTTCAGATAAGGGTGAAGGTTTGGTACCATTAAAACGTTTAAACCAGCTGCAATTGTTTGCACCTGTCCTAAGTCAGGAATCTGATGTTCATTAGTTGTCGTTTGTTGATGTGGTTTATTAGTGTTTCTCGTTTTTTATATAGATTAGACCGTTGGTTTTCCCGTTTGAATGGTTTTACACTAGTAATTTTTGAGGCCCTTTATAGCTTGCTGTTCGGTGTGAGCCAAGGCTCCGTGTTGAAGACCGTACTTTGACCTATATTGGTTTACTTTTATAAATTTTGACTTGGATGGAGAGTTGTCTCATTGGCACTCATACCACATCTTCTTATATCTATTTACAACATAACCTACAAATAATACAAAGTGATTCATACTTGAGATAAAGAAAATAACTGTGATATCTTACCTCTGAATTTAAGACCCTTCCAGTAATTCTTGTGAACATCACATACATTTTTAATTGTCTTTATTGCACTGAAAAGACATTTTTGAATATTAATTCAGATATTAATATGAGAGCTGTCAATCTGAATATACTCCATGACAACAATAATCCATAGTAATTTAGTGCAGTTCATGAAACAATACTTAATTTTGTTCACATTAGTTCTCATTGCAATTTACTTCTAATAAGATTACATATGAACCTTCAAATCCTATATATAGGAACAAAATTTCACAATATGCAAAATACCAAGAGTTGAATTTGATATAGAAATATGGTCTTCACTGGACACCATCTGGCTTTAAACCCTTCTAAAGTAGAGCATTCAATTGGCTGTTTAAAATTTTTGACATGAATCAATATTACACCAAAAATGGTAAGAATGGGAACAATTAGTCTGATGTCTCTTCTAGGGTGAGGGTCAATCATAGCACATTAAAAATTACAGTTTTCAAGATAATAGGCAAAAGTGGGAAAAAATCATCATTAAAGGGCAATAATTTCAATAAGGAGTCCATTACCAATATGGGTCATGTTGACTTATTTGTAGATCTTGTCCTGCTGATCATTTTTGCTTTTTAAAAATTCTATCTATCTTCTATCATTTTTAGGGTATTAGGCAAAAACACAAAAAATTGGTAAAATTGTCATTAAAGGGCAATTACTCTAATAAGGAGTCCAATGAAGATTTCAGTCAAGCTGACTTATTTGTAGATACTGTTGTGCTGATCAATTTTGCTTTAAAAGAGTTTTTAAGATAGTAGTCAATAATGCAAAATTTGGTAAAAATCTGATCATTTTTCTGTTTACAGTTTCTATCTTTCTATTATAATTTTGGAGATAATAAGCAATTTTTTTTTAAATGGTAAAATTTCTTATTTAAGGGAAATAACACCTTTAAGAAGTTGTCTGATAGTCTTGACGAAAAAGGACAACAGGTAGAGCCCAACATCCGGAACAATTTAGCACATGTTAGATTTTCTTTATTTATAGCGTTTTTTTAAATAATAGGTAAAACTTGCATTTTACCCCGATGTTCTGTTGTCGGCCATTTTGGTTGGCAGGCTGCATCATTGGACACATTTTTAAAACTACATACCCTTATGATGATTGTGGCCAAGTTTGATTTAATTTTGCCCAGTAGTTTCAAAGAAGAAGATTTTTGTAAAAGTTAACAGACCACTATGACGACGACAGACGATGATGGACAACAAGTGATGAGAAAAGCTCACTTGGCCCTTGGGACCAGGTGATATAATAAAACATGATAAATTAAATACTTTTCTTTTTAAACGGACCACTTCTTATTTAAATTATTTTATACAGAATAGTACTCAGTGTACACTAATATTGATAGTGGTCTTATTGACATCCTTATTTTCATAAAACCTAAAAATTATTTAAACAGTTCTAGGTAAAATTCTAATCAAATAATTTCTTAGAGCATCTTTAATAGTAATTACCTGTCCATAGGTTTTGTTATTTGTAATGAAGGACATGAATCTCCTAACAATACTGATGTACACATACACATAGAGTGAGATATAGAGGTTAAATTGTATCCACCCTGAAAAAAAAAGTAAAAAAAGTTACACAAATTATAACCTTACTCTATAGCTTCTGTAGAAAGGTGCAAATTAAATAAATTGTTAATAACTAAAATTGCCAAGATATTTTTTAAACTAGAAATACTGCCATTGAAAATGATGGCGTAATCCAAAGTTTTAACATCCCCTCCCTTCCTCCTGACAGAAATTTGAAATTTGTTACTGTGACTTGACTGTTAGCGTTGCATTCCAACTATTGCAGTTCATTCGAAATTCTGACCCAATTGCAATTTGTTTTATCAAACCAAACTGATCAACTATCAGAAATTTTAATCAACTGCGGTAGAAACAATAGTCAAGTCAACAAAGTGCAAGGTGATAAAATAAAGCATACTTACAATCCTATAAGACTTTAATTCCAATAAATATATATTGCTATTGTAAAGAATCACACCAAAAGGTGATAGGTAGTGATTTTTGAATTACAGCGATTAGACTTATTTGTAGATCTTGTATTGCTGATTATTTCTGCTTTTTAAAGATTAATTCTATCTATCTATTATAATTTTAATTCATTCAAACAATATTGTCTTCGTAGTTGTGTATGGTGTAAATTGTGTGCTGTGTTATTTGTTGTCCAATAATGTAAACATACTTTGAAGTTTTTATAGGTGGTGTTTTATTATCTATAATTGTCTCTTGGTATGTAAATATGCATATAATTTTCTGTTTGTATGGTAATGACTCAAATCCTTATAGATGCAATGTTTTCTTATTTCTGATGTAACTCTCTTGATAACCAAACTCAAATTCAATATCACAATCCACCAAGTCCGCAATGGTGAGTTTTAAGTCAAAAGTAAATTGTAACAAGTAAAAATTTTATAAACTCACCATCAGCGAAATTGAGCATTTTAGATCTAAACCAATTTCCAAACAATTTAATGTTAGCATAAGTGCGAAAAGGGGGTATCTGTGTAAGTAAAACACAGTCTCAATAAATCATACTGGCTCAAAGCAGACAGAATCTTCGAAAGATTAATATTTATTAATACAATAAATTTAGTAACAAAATATTTTGGCCCTTGAGAAACACTCAGCATAATTAAGAATTTAGGAGTTCCTGCCGAGCAAGTCAAATTGCAACCTGTAGTGTGAGGAAGAATCTGCCTACCCGACAATACGCCAGCCAGGAATGTGAAGCGAAGGTTCTCCACCAAGGGGATGAGACTAGGCATCTCATCTGCAGCCGGGGTGTGCAAGGTCTGCATGGGGGATAGCCCATGTGGTGCTATTACAAGTAGTAAGTAGCAGGGTCTATCAATCTGGCGCTGGAATAAATTTGATAAAAGTCCCTGAAATGCTTGGGGATGAATGAAATTTTAGTGATAAAACTCCATCAAGGTCCAAAAACTCAGATGGTTACAGATGAGTGCCCCCAAGGATTTTGGAGTATTATACCTTCAATAATGTCATGAGAATAAAAAAAATTAAAAAAAAATTAAAAATTAATATACACAAGATATGCTCTATACAATATAGTGTAACAATTACCTATAGTAATTTGAGAAATTTATAAAATTATAATCAATATTCAAAATGAGATGCTATAAAAAATATAATATTCAATATTCAAAGTTTCAAACATGATAATACTATAAAAATGATATTCAATATTCAAAGTACAAAAAAATGTACAAACATGAGAATGCTATAAAAAGGATATTCAGTAATTCAATGATGAGAATAATATAAAAATGATTATCAGTAATTCAATGGTGAGAATGCTATAAAAATTATATTCAATGTAAAAGCTTTTGAATTGAGAAGGCTATACTAGATTAATTCAAATAGATTTTGAACATCATAGGGGATGCATTCAGTATTGTAATTCAGAAAGCAAGAAACTGCCTGTATGACAATAATGCCAGTTAGGGAAGATGGAGCAAGGGTTCTCCATGAGGGGGTGAGACTTGGTGTCTCATCTGTAGCTGTTAGTGTGCTAGTTCTGCATGGGGATAGCCCATGTGCTAGTAGATTAGCCAAGGTCTATCAAAGCTGGCCCTGGAATACAGGCATGTTAATGCTATAAAACTATTTCTAACATGATAAATTTTCCTAAAAAGATTTTCGAAGAAATTGCCACTCTGTTCAGTTAATGCAGTTAATGAATAATTCTTTCTAAATCTCTAAGCTCTCATCATTGAATACATGTTATATGCAGTTATATATTTGACTATTCTTTCGATGTGTTGTCTAAAGTTCAAAGTTCACTGCTATAAAGTACTGTTAGATTCTGGGGTGGTATTGATTTCTTTAAGTATGTACTGCTGTCTGCAATGTGAACATTGGGTGTGTAAATACAATTTTTGAAATGCATGTATACTCTACGGTAAACATCACTGTATTCCCAAATATTAATATCTTTAACATATTAGGTTTCATCAGTAAATTCTCTACTGAGTATAAAGCAATAAAACCTATGTACATACTGTCTCTGCTATTGTAAAAAGTAGTCAAAAACCTGTCTAAGACATAATACAATTTCTATAATATCTTTAAAGTAATAGGCAAACTGTATGGTTCATTGGTTTTGACATATTTCAAATGCCAAGTAGTCTATTTAAAAGTGTATGTTGTCATATTCTAAGGATTCAAGCATGCTTGAAATAGCAACGTCCAAAATAAGTTTACAGTTTGGTATGGAATCAAATACTTCTGTACTCTTGGCACTGATGAGGCTCGCGACTGTAGTGCTGCCTTGTAGTCAATATGCTAAACTGGTATATCCTACATGATCTGTTTGAATGGTTGGAGAAATAATGTCCACACAGATAACTAATCTGAACATACTCTTGGGTTCATGTCGAAATGCAGAGGCTCTAGTATCAAAATATGGTAGTCATGTCTGTTGTAATCCTGTTTGCACATGAGAAAATTCTGAACTTGTTAATTGTGACTCATGGCTGATTGTACTTTAACCACAAATTGAAAGATGAAATATTTTTAAAGATTATCCAACTGGTGATACTATGATTAGAAAACTGTCAATGTTCATGTGTATATGTAGGTATGACTGAGCTCCAGTTGAATAAATGTAAAGTTTAAAGTAAGGTCTGGAAATAATTGTTCTTCCCATTGACATATAATTTCTTGGTATTCCTAAACGGAAGATTTTATACACACAGAAGAAGTATACTTAACAACAAAATTATTTTCATTTACCTGTGTATAATATGACGCAGGTTTCTTCAAAAGTGATGATTTTCTATAAATTGTTTGAAATTTCACAGTGATATCATACGTTAACTTTGTTTAAACCTGTCTATTTACTTTTGACTTTAATTATTTATCCCTTGTAATTTTTTATTAACTGTATTTGCATTTAGGTGTCACAGGTCAAATTTATTCGTTCATTGTGTGTGTTAATTTACGTTTTTTGATTGAGTTAAGCCTTCCAATTGATATTTTATAGTGTGTTTTTCTATGTTGTGATGTTATACTATTGTTTCAGAAAAGGGAGAAGGTTTGGTACCATTAAAACGTTTAATCCCGCTGCAAATGTTTGCACCTGTCCTAAGTCAGGAATCTGATTACAGTAGTTGTCGTCTGTTTATGTAGTTCATACGTGTTTCTCGTTTCTCGTTTTTATATAGACTAGACTGTTGGTTTTTCCGTTTGAATGGTTTTACACTTGTAATTTTTTGGGGCCCTTTATAGCTTGCTGTTTGGTGTGAGCCACTGCTCTGTGTTGAAGGCCGTACCTTGACCTATAATGGTTTACTTTTATAAATTGCAACTTGGATGGAGAGTTGTCTCATTGGCACTCATACCACATCTTCCTGTATCTATCTACCAGCTGTAGCCACATCTTAGGAAAAGTGAAGAACTTGATAGTGTCTAAAATCTTTGACTGTAAATCTGATGAACCTAATGTGCATACAGAAGATGCAATATGTTTCCATTTCCTCAGTGTTCAGATATGCAAATAAAAGGAAAGAAGAAAGGTGTCAGTAATAGGCAATATTAAATGCTGTACTTGTGTTAAAACTATAAATATATATAAATATATATGTAAAACAAGCAAAGTAACTGTTTATCCATTTAGAATCATTTGTAATTTGAATTATGGATGTAGTCAGGTGAAATTAAAAAGATCTGGAATTTATAAAGTTGATACTATAAACCAGAAGAGCATTAGTTGAGGGGGGAGGGGAAAATAAGTTAAAAATATTCAAGATATTTACTTTTTGAAAAATGGTAAGAAAAGGCTGAGTTAGACTTTTACCTTATATTAAACATTGCATTATTTGGGTCTCAAATCGTAAGAAAAGAAATCTAAGATCTTTTTTAATTTGGTAAATAACTTTTTTTGAGGTATTGTAGTCTTATATACTAAGAAAAGTGGGTGATCTCGGGCAAAATATGTTACCCTGTATTGTAGGAAACCCCCAAGTAGTCTGAACATCTGACAAAAAATCAGCATATAAATATATACTATTCTATGTCATTGTCAGAATTCTAAATTGAAAGAAAAAAAAAATAACTTAAAACAAAATTTTAAAATTACTTCGCTCATTATGGCATTATTTCTTTATCTTAGCTATCTTTAGATAATGAAACTAGTTAATATTAATTCTGCAATAGGCAAAAGACAATAGTTTATTGGCACAAAAGCATTTACAATAAATGGTAATGACCAAAAGAATAAACATGGTAGTAAAAAATACAAACAATTATGTGAATATAAAATACATGTATAATGAAAATATTGCAATAGATTACTTCTCGCATTTAAACAATTTGTTACGAAAGAGGAAGTTAGTTTTAGTGCTGTGTAAGATTTATTATTAAGTATAAGCTCTATTTTATATTTATCGCACAAAGGGGTTATTCTTTTTTCTGTAATTTTAGACATTTTGAATTCAAAAGTCTCTCTGATACTGGAGTACCCTCTACAGTGTAGTAGCATGTGCTTTTCATTTTCAATTTAAATAGGTGTGTTCAACAACCAAAATTCGTATAAGAGAGACACAAATAAAAGATAAAACATATCTATTCAAATAAAGAAGATGAAATGAAACCATACTTAATATTTCATGAGGTTGTTTTCTGAATATGCATATTAAGATATATAAAAGAAAGTGAAAATTAGATTATTTTTTATATTAACCAGTTAAATCTAGTCTCAATTTGCCTGAAGTTTATAATTTTCAAAGAAAATTCCCAGCACTATACATCTGTATATATAAGAAATAAAAGTTCAATACAAATATACTTGCTTAGAACAGTTGTATAGAAGATAAGGCCAGTGCATAAACACTCGATGGAAATCTCTGTATGGTCACAAATACATATGGATCTAATGATGTTAGATTCTGCTCTATCACATAATACTTTCTGACACAGTTATCAATGTTATTAACTCCACAAGTATTGACAATTTTACAAAGAAATGCTGCTTTATATAAGTTATCCAAATTCAGATATATCCAAATACAAAAATGTGTACGTGTACTTCACAAGTTTTTAAACATTGAAAACTCAGCTGTGTATACATAGGTTAATAAGATCCCAAGGTGAAAACAAAACAAAGTTCATGTATAAAGTATTACAAATCAGTATGGTAGCGGTTCAGTAATGCAGCCACATTGTGACAATGTTCAAATTAAAAACAAATATGATTAAGTCCAGTTATAATAACAAGAGTGCACACGCTGAAATGTCTCGCCTTCTTTACTAATCATTGATATTATGTTGATAGTCCTAAATATAAAGCTTTATTACAACTGTCACATAAACTTAACATTAACCAAGTAAAATAAACATTGACCAATGAACCATGAAAATGAGGTCAAGGTCAGATAAACCATGCTAGGCAGGCATGTACAGCCAACAATTCTTCCATACAACAAATATAGTTGACCTATTGCTTATAGTTTAAGAAAAACAGACCAAAACACAAAAACTTAACACTGAGCAATGAACCTTGAAAATGAGGTCAAGGTAAAAAAAAAAACCTGCGTGACTGACAAATAGATCATAAAATATTTCCATACACCAAATATAGTTGAACTATTGCATATAGTATTAGAAAAAAAGACCAAAACTCAAAAACTTAACTTTGACCACTGAACCATGAAAATGAGGTCAAGGTCAGATGACAACTGCCAGCTAGACATGTACACCTTACAATCATTCCATACACCAAATATAGTAGACCTATTGCATACAGTATAAGAAAAACAGACCAAAACACAAAACCTTAACTATAACCACTGAACCATGAAAATGAGGTCAAGGTCAGATGACACCTGCCAGTTGGACATGTACACCTTACAGTCCTTCCATACACCGAATATACTAGACCTATTGCTTATAGTATCTGAGATATGGACTTGACCACCAAAACTTAACCTTGTTCACTGATCCATGAAATGAGGTCGAGGTCAAGTGAAAACTGTCTGACGGGCATGAGGACCTTGCAAGGTACGCACATACCAAATATAGTTATCCTATTACTTATAATAAGAGAGAATTTAACATTACAAAAAATCTTAACTTTTTTTTCAAGTAGTCACTGAACCATGAAAATGAGGTCAAGGACATTGGACATGTGACTGACGGAAACTTCGTAACATGAGGCATCCATATACAAAGTATGAAGCATCCAGACCTTCCACCTTCTAAAATATAAAGCTTTTAAGAAGTGAGCTAACGCCGCCACCGCCGCCGCCGCCGGATCACTATCCCTATGTCGAGCTTTCTGCGACAAAAGTCGCAGGCTCGACAATAAAAAATTGAATTCTAGCACTATTAAACTGTCAAGTTAAACTGTAAACCAAGAAACTGATTTCACAAAGACTATGCATATGGCTTAACACACAGATTTGGGTACATCAATCATCTAGTGGGAGGAGACTGAAATCACTGACCTTCAGTTGATATACTAATTAATGTGTGATTATTTTTATGAGATCTAAAATTATCCTGCCTTTCACCACAAACAGTGAATAATTGTAACATGTATCTGATTAAGAATAGATTAGTATGTCCCCTGGTGAGATTGCAGTGTAACTTCAAAGTGTCAAATGCCAGAGAAATTAATCTCAAGATGTAGCAAGTGGTCTATGTATGTTAATTAAATGTATCGAAGATGTTAGCATGTTTACTGGAAAGATTAATTGTCAAAGTTGGATGGAAATATTGTTTGTATAAACAATACTTATATTACATATAAGTAACCTACATATTAGTCAAAACACAAAACACTGGTAAAAATCATCATTAAAGGACAATAACTTCAATAAGGAGTCTTTCTATGATTTCAGCCATGTTGACTTATTTGTAGATCTCATCTTGCTGATCATTCTTGCTATTTGAGGTTTCTCTCTTTCTATTATAGTTCTCATGATTATAGACACAAGAGTGCACACGCTGAAATGTCTCGCCTTCTTTACTAATCATTGATATTATGTTGATAGTCCTAAATATAAAGCTTTATTACAACTGTCACATAAACTTAACATTAACCAAGTAAACTAAACATTGACCAATGAACCATGAAAATGAGGTCAAGGTCAGATGAACCATGCTAGGCAGGCATGTACAGCTAACAATTCTTCCATACAACAAATAGAGTTGACCTATTGCTTATAGTTTAAGAAAAACAGACCAAAACACAAAAACTTAACACTGAGCAATGAACCTTGAAAATTAGGTCAAGGTCAAATAAAACCTGCGTGACTGCCAAATAGATCATAAAATATTTCCATACACCAAATATAGTAGACCTATTGCATACAGTATAAGAAAAACAGACCAAAACACAAAAACTTAACTATAACCACTGAACCATGAAAATGAGGTCAAGGTCAGATGACACCTGCCAGTTGGACATGTACACCTTACAGTCCTTCCATACACCGAATATACTAGACCTATTGCTTATAGTATCTGAGATATGGACTTGACCACCAAAACTTAACCTTGTTCACTGATCCATGAAATGAGGTCGAGGTCAAGTGAAAACTGTCTGACGGGCATGAGGACCTTGCAAAGTATGCACATACCAAATATAGTTGAACTATTGCACATAGTATTAGAAAAAAAGACCAAAACTCAAAAACTTAACTTTGACCACTGAACCATGAAAATGAGGTCAAGGTCAGATGACACCTGCCCGCTAGACATGTACACCTTACAATCATTCCATACACCAAATATAGTAGACCTATGGCATACAGTATAAGAAAAACAGACCAAAACACAAAAACTTAACTATAACCACTGAACCATGAAAATGAGTTCAAGGTCAGATGACACCTGCCAGTTGGACATGTACACCTTACAGTCCTTCCATACACCGAATATACTAGACCTATTGCTTATAGTATCTGAGATATGGACTTGACCACCAAAACTTAACCTTGTTCACTGATCCATGAAATGAGGTCGAGGTCAAGTGAAAACTGTCTGACGGGCATGAGGACCTTGCAAGGTATGCACATACCAAATATAGTTGAACTATTGCACATAGTATTAGAAAAATAGACCAAAACTCAAAAACTTAACTTTGACCACTGAACCATGAAAATGAGGTCAAGGTCAGATGACACCTGCCCGCTAGACATGTACACCTTACAATCATTCCATACACCAAATATAGTAGACCTATGGCATACAGTATAAGAAAAACAGACCAAAACACAAAAACTTAACTATAACCACTGAACCATGAAAATGAGGTCAAGGTCAGATGACACCTGCCAGTTGGACATGTACACCTTACAGTCCTTCCATACACCGAATATACTAGACCTATTGCTTATAGTATCTGAGATATGGACTTGACCACCAAAACTTAACCTTGTTCACTGATCCATGAAATGAGGTCGAGGTCAAGTGAAAACTGTCTGACGGGCATGAGGACCTTGCAAGGTATGCACATACCAAATATAGTTGAACTATTGCACATAGTATTAGAAAAAAAGACCAAAACTCAAAAACTTAACTTTGACCACTGAACCATGAAAATGAGGTCAAGGTCAAATGACACCTGCCCGCTAGACATGTACACCTTACAATCATTCCATACACCAAATATAGTAGACCTATGGCATACAGTATAAGAAAAACAGACCAAAACACAAAAACTTAACTATAACCACTGAACCATGAAAATGAGGTCAAGGTCAGATGACACCTGCCAGTTGGACATGTACACCTTACAGTCCTTCCATACACCGAATATACTAGACCTATTGCTTATAGTATCTGAGATATGGACTTGACCACCAAAACTTAACCTTGTTCACTGATCCATGAAATGAGGTCGAGGTAAAGTGAAAACTGTCTGACGGGCATGAGGACCTTGCAAGGTACGCACATACCAAATATAGTTATCCTATTACTTATAATAAGAGAGAATCTAACATTACAAAAAATCTTAACTTTTTTTTCAAGTAGTCACTGAACCATGAAAATGAGGTCAAGGACATTGGACATGTGACTGCCGGAAACTTCGTAACATGAGGCATCCATATACAAAGTATGAAGCATCCAGACCTTCCACCTTCTAAAATATAAAGCTTTTAAGAAGTTAGCTAACGCCGCCGCCGCCGCCGCCGGATCACTATCCCTATGTCGAGCTTTCTGCGACAAAAGTCGCAGGCTCGACAAAAACTGAAAATAATTTATAAAATTCATCATATAAGGGCAATAACTCCTATACTAAGTTGTCTGTCAGTTTTGATATAAATGGACAGAAGGTAGATTACAATATTCTGAACATCTCTGCCCAGTAAGAGTTTCTCTATTTATAAATGTTTTCAAGATAATAGACAAAACTTGCATTTTACATCTATGTACTATTTTTAGCCATGTTTGTGGGCAGGTGGGGTGGTGTGACATATTTTTTAAACTAAATACCCCAATGATGATTGTGGCCAAGTTTCGTTAAATTTGGCTCTGTAGTTTCAGAGGAAAAGATTTTTATTAAAGTTAACAGATGATGTGGACAGAGCAAAGTGATGAGAAAAGCTCACTTGGCTGAAGCAGGATCTGCTTACCCTTCTGGAGCACCTGAGATCACCCCCAGTTTTTGGTTGTGTTCGTGTTGCTCAGACTTTAGTTTTCTATGTTGTGTTGTGTGTACTATTGTTTGTCTGTTGGTCTGTTTCTTTTTTAACCATGGCGTTGTCAATTTATTTTCGACTTATGAGTTTGAATGTCCCTCTGGTATCTTTTGCCTCTCTTTGGCCCTATGGGCCAGGTGAGCTAAAAAGGAATGACAGAAATGAAATTTTTAAAAATCTGTCAGATTGAATTTGAAAGTTAATTAGGATTAGACATTTTTTAAGCCTTTTCAGTTTGTAATTGTTTGGTCATCAGTAATTTAATCATTACAAAAGAGAGCTGCTGGAATAATATTAGAAGTAGTCATTTTCACTCCTTTTGGTCCCTTATTCAAACATCTAAACTTGATGACAGTTGAACAGAGAATGAAATATTACAAGTTTGTGATGACATTTAAGTTCATTAAAAATGATTGCCCATCATATCTTACTGGCAAGTTTCATTATGTTTCAAACAGAAATCCATAACTCATGAGAAACAATGTTCAAGAAACCTCATACCTCCTAAACAAAAAATAAAATAGTTCATGAAAACATTTTTATGTATTCTGAACCATCCTTGTGGAACAAATTGCCTATATCATTAAGAAATATTACAAATGTTAATTCCTTCAAATTCATTGAAATAAACCCATTGAGAAAATGTAAAAAAAAATAGTTATTTCATCATGTTTATTTGTTCATAACATTTTATGCAGTTGTATTGAACAATATCCATATACTTGACTGATGTATGTCATATACATGTATGGGTTTGCATTTTTGTTTTTCAACCATTTTTGTTATGCTTTTCTATGATAAGGGCCTCTAAGAAAAAACAGTTTACCTATATGTAATATAAGTATTGTTTATACTGTTATGATATTGTAACTATCATATTTATTTAGTTGGCCTAATTTGTTTTGTGTGGCCTAAGAAGGTTTACATTATATTGTGTACAAAATAATTCACATTGTGTTACAACTATGCAGTTTAGAAACATAACTGGAACAATCATAGACACTCATGGAATGATTAGAACTTTCTATTTTACTTACATAATGTTTCCAGAATGATCATTACAAAAGATGTGTAATTTAAACATCTCCAGTTGTCTAGAAGTTTCCTTTACAAGCATATATAAATGCAGACCCTTAAGTTAGACATAGTTATAGATATAGACTTAGACATTGGTAGACATCATCATTCTCAGCAGTTGGATTGACACTTTTATTTACAAACTACATCATACTAGATTGTGACCTATTGGATGTAATATTCTGTGTGGATTCCCGAGAAGATTTCCAGATAAAGAAAAGATAAAAGATTGGACTCATATCTTGACAGTTAAGTTGACATTACTACTTGTGTAATACTTCTTGTAAACTTGTGTATAATAAATCTTGTTAAATTTTATTATTGATTTGTGTCTTTTGTTTGCTACAATTAAAAGTCGATTTTCTGTCGTAACATTACAAACAGACAGTCCAGCTCACACTTAAAAATTAATAATAATTAATATAACAAAGATGCTGGATACATTTGTTTAACACACAAAGACCACTTGTTGTATCTTGAGGTTAATTTCCCTGGCATTTAACACTTTGAAATAACAACTACAATCTAACCAGGAGAAACACTAATCTTTTCTTCAATCAGATAAATGTCACAGTATTGTTATCATTGTTGTTGTTGTTACAATAAGTATTGCTTTACCAGTAAAAGAACACTTGGTATTATATTATAATAATACCAAGGGTACTCCAAGTTATTTCTTTTTGTTTCAAATAAAAGGTTTGATAATCACTTATCCCGTTAACCTGTGTTCACACCTGACTATTGACTATTGATCAAGTTTAGATGATTTTTTCATCATTTGTTTACTTTTCAGCAAAGGCAATTAAAGATTTAGATGAAACCAGCATTGTGAGGATATTGCATATAAAGCAATAAAATGTCCTCTAATTACATATTCCTATATAAATAGTTAAGAATATAAGAGATATTCATCTTGATAAATTTGTTTAAAATAAATTATACTGTCACTATACAGTAAAGGGGAAATAACTCTAACATTAATAATGATATAAATATTCAATTTTATCTCCCTTTTAAACATCTATTCCTTTGATAGATTTATGTATAATTGTTACATGCCATACTGTAAATAAATTAATACATTCAATGTTGAATGAAGAAAATAATAAGCGACATCTTATGTTTGTATGTGTGTATGTTTGTGTATGTCAAATTTGTTACAATTGTATATTTGTACTTATGAACTTACTTATATGGTTTATAAAACATCCCTTCATCTATAATCATGGATAATAATGTAACGATATTATCAATGAATGTGAGGGGACTTTTCTCAAATTCCAAAAAGAGGGCAGATGTATTTGATTGGGCTAAGAGTAAAAATACTTCGATAGTGTGTTTCCAGGAAACTCATAGTAAAAAAGACATTGAAAAAAACTGGGAGGATGAATGGGGAAGCACATGTTTTTTCAGTCATAAAGACAGTAAAAGTGCAGGTGTCTCTGTTATGTTTAAAAAGGGTCTGGATTTTGTTGTGCATAATTCTGTTACTGATGATAATGGTCGTTACATTGTTTTAGATGTATCAATTTTTTCACAAAGAATGAGTTTTGCCTGTTTGTATGGTTATAATACAGATGAACCTGCATTCTTTGATATAATAATGCAGAACATTTTATCCTTTAAAAACACAAGTGTTTTATTATGTGGTGACTGGAATGTTGTTTTAGATAAATTTATGGATACATATAATATCAAACATAATAGAAACCCTAACTCCCGTAAAAAACTTGATGAAATCATTGATGTTTTTGAACTACTTGATCCTTGGCGTACATGCTATCCAGAAGATAGGAAATATACTTGGCGTCAGTCCTCACCTATAAAACAAAGTCGTTTAGATTATTTTTTAATTTCAGAAGACCTTTTTTCACTAATGAAAAATACTAAAATTATACCAGGTTATAGAACTGACCACTCAGCAATTATTTTCACCTTCTCAGCTTGTTTAGAGAAACGGGGCAAAAGTTACTGGAAATTTAACTCTCAATTACTCAGAGATGCAGATTATATACAAAAGGTTAAATTATGCATTAAGGATACTATTTTGGAATACTATCTGTCAGGTGATATGGAAGATCTTCTTTCTGTTGATTTGTCATGTAATGATCAAACATTTTTTGAAATATTGAAAATGAAGATTAGATCTTTGTCCATA